GAGAAATGGAGGAGACACGAGAATCTCCGGCGGAACACGGCTTTTACATGCCGGCGGAATGGGAAACTCATGCCCAAACTTGGATCGGTTGGCCTGTAAATCTCTTGATCTCTCTCTCTCTCTGTTAATGTTTGTGTTCTCCGATTAATCGTCGGTGATTCTTGAGAACTCAATCTCGTTGTCTCAAACTTCTCCTTCGATTTCAGTTTTTGTTTTTCTGGATCATGCTTGTAGTTTATACATGTTCGATTCTTATCTCTGTTTCTTAAAAACCCTGGTTTCGTGTTTCCAATTTAGCTTTCTAAACTCCGTTTTTGTTTCCCCCCTAAGATTGTTGTGACATGTTTCAATTCAAGTTTGAGTTCTGTAACATTGAAAATCTATCTTACAGAATATATCTGACTATATGATTATGTTAGATTTGTGTGATCGTTGTTTACACAAACAGGTTTTGTGGTTTTGGATTTGAGTTTTGTTCTGACATAATAAAGCCTGCAGGAACGGCAAGATAACTGGAGGCACAATGCATTACCCGCACAACGAGTGTTTGTAGAAGTTGCAAAGGCGATTTCCAAGTTCGAGCCTGTGACAGTCTGTGCAAGCTCCGCTCAGGTTTGTGTATAATCAATCATTCCCTTGGAATATGAAAACATCTTCGTGCTTCTATAGAAAAATGTACCAATTTAGTCTTGCTTCCATGATTGTGGATGTTGCCTTTAGTGGGAAAATGCAAGGAAACAGCTTCCAGAGGAAATCAGAGTTGTTGAGATGAGCATGAATGATTCTTGGTTCCGCGACTCTGGACCAACCGTGAGTTTTGTTTATCTTCTCGCCTTTACTCAATCTGACAAAACTTTTTAACATCTGTTGTTACCGCCCTTTATGTGTTTGCTTCTCGCTCTCTTTCTTACAGTTTGTTGTGCGGAAAAGACCATCAAAGCTCAGTTCTTTTAGCCGAAACATCGCTGGAATCGACTGGAATTTCAATGCCTGGGGAGGTACGGGTTTGTGGAAACCTTAGTTCTGTTCTCTAGCATTTTTAGTTACTGTTTGAAACACTTTGGACTTTTCCGATTGGTAGGAGCTGATGATGGTTGTTACATTGATTGGAGTCATGACCTTCTAGTTTCAAAAAAGGTTTGATCCAAACTCATAGTTGGTTCCATATCACTCTCAGTGTCATGATGGTTTTGTTATAATGATTGGAGTCATGACCTTATCTATCAGATTCTCGCTGTTGAACGGATTCCAAGGTTTCAACATTCGATGATTCTTGAAGGAGGCAGCATCCATGTCGACGGGGAAGGTTTGCATACATTTCATAGAAACTTCAAAACGGACTATTATTATACACACTTTCACTTTGTTGTTTCGCTTATTCCGCTTCCTGTTTCTATATATATCTTTCAGGAACCTGCCTTGCCACAGAAGAGTGTCTCTTGAACAAAAACCGGAATCCTCATATGAGCAAAGCACAAATTGAAGAAGAACTCAAGAAGTATCTCGGAGTAAAAACTATTATCTGGCTTCCTCGTGGTCTCTACGGTAATAACCCCTCTTCGCTCTTTCCATAATTGATTTAATAGATATTGTCGATCTTACACAAATCAGTGATTCATACATCGATTTTCACTGATTATTTTATCTGTCGAAACATTTTCAGGTGATGATGACACAAACGGTCACATTGATAACATGTGCTGTTTCGCTAAACCAGGAGTTGTGTTATTGTCTTGGACAGACGATGAAACCGATCCTCAGTACGAAAGAGCCGTCGAAGCGCACTCCGTTTTCTCAAACTCCATTGATGCTCGTGGCAGGAAGATCCAAGTCATCAAGCTTCATGTCCCTGGACCGCTTTATATGACAGAAGAAGAAGCTTCCGGAATTATTCAGGCAACGAATTCTAACTGAGAAAAACTCAAACTTTGAGCTGTTTTCCGAATCGAGCTAATTGATAATGTTTGATTTCCCAATGTTGCAGGAAGGTGAAGCTATACCAAGACTCGCAGGGACAAGACTCGCAGCATCGTATGTCAATTTCTACATCGCTAATGGAGGAATAATCGTACCGCAATTCGGTGACGCACAACGCGATAAAGAAGCAATTCGAGTCCTCTCAGAAACATATCCTCATCACTCGGTATATCAACGATCTCTGTGATTCAAAAATCAATCAAACAAAAAGGTTTTGATTTTGATATT